TATCTCCTGTTACATACACGTTCATAATGTTTCCTTCTACAGGTGTACAACTTACATGTGTCCAGCTACATTCGTGTCATCATGTCACTGTTTATAGGTGCACTCTAAACCTAAGTGTTCTAGTTCTGAACACTATGAGAACACCCTTCCTGTAAGAGATTTAGAACGCAGTCGGAGTGTTCTGATTTAGACTTTATGTGTTCTGCCCTGAGAACACTAGTGTTCCGCGCTGTAGCAGATTTAGAACGCCCTTTGAGTGTTCTGAGCTTTATTTTAGAACACTAGTGTTCTCAAATGTCCACCAGCCTAAAATGAATGAATAAACACCAAAACAATATGAAATGATTCAAAACTTTATTTACACCTATACTGAATATGAAAACGTGTTATTATCCTTTTGTTAGACCGCGGACGGCTAAATGGAGTGTAAGAGAAGAAGCTAACTTTAACTGCAACAACTCATCCGTGCACATCTTATAACATCTGTAGTGCCATCTGTAGAGCATCACCCCTGACGAAAGCGACGATTTTTGGACCCTCTGAGGCTTTTGTTTTCAGAACCCCGTCAATCTCATCAACGGTCACATCCTACAATAAATAATACAATATTACACTAGATAATTCATTTGAAAGATATGATGTGGCACACACGTGATTTCAAATTTCAACTGAACTCTAATTCATGACACACAATTTTGAATGAAAATACTGTTTTATTTCACCCACAAACAAACATGAAAACGGCTTCATCCGTTCATGTCAATTAAGTGCCATGTCAAAGACAGAATGGCTTCCACATCGTGGTTTCTCAGACACAGCTGCCAGAACGTTCTAAAATCAGCTGAAAATAGAGCTACATAGACTAATGCTTAGTCTCTGAATATATATGTTTAATTGTAACAAACAAGCCCATTAAAATTGAAAAGGAGCCCCAGGGAGACCAGAGATCCTGAACCTGGGGAAGTCTAGACTTGCTTTATTTAGGGCTTTAGCACTGCAGAGAGGGATAGGCAGTAGGAAAAATAATGTGGTTCAGGGACTGTGAGACAGAATTAGAGCTACACGGCATATCAGATATCCGGTGTTATCCCCGTCGTCACTGGAATTTGAGTGAATGAGTTTAGTTTTACTCCGCACTCAGCAATATTCCAGCTATATGACAATTCCTAATTTCTCAGCAACCAATGCTTGTTGTACAAGGCAACTTACTTATGCCCTGTTGAGGCGAGTACCACCCACTAATGTGCTCGAAATGAAGAATGTACCACTCCCAAATATCCTTCATGCTGAAGGTAGTATCGTCTCTAAATGTGCCCCTGTTGAGGCGAGTACCACCCACTAATGTGCTCGTAATTAAGAATGTACCACTCCCAAATATCCTTCATGTTGAAGGTAGTATCGCCTCTAAATGTGCCCCTGTTGAGGCGAGTACCACCCACTAATGTGCTCGTAATGAAGAATGTACCACTCCCAAATATCCTTCATGTTGAAGGTAGTATCGCCTCTAAATGTGCCCTGTTGAGGAGAGTACCACCCACTAATGTGCTCGTAATGAAGAATGTACCACCCCCAAATATCCTTCATGTTGAAGGTAGTATCGCCTCTAAATGTGCCCCTGTTGAGGAGAGTACCACCCACTTATGTGCTCGTAATGAAGAATGTACCACTCCCAAATATCCTTCATGTTGAAGGTAGTATCGCCTCTAAATGTGCCCTGTTGAGGCGAGTACCACCCACTAATGTGCTCGTAATGAAGAATGTACCACTCCCAAATATCCTTCATGTTGAAGGTAGTATCGCCTCTAAATGTGCCCCTGTTGAGGAGAGTACCACCCACTAATGTGCTCGTAATGAAGAATGTACCACTCCCAAATATCCTTCATGTTGAAGGTAGTATCGCCTCTAAATGTGCCCCTGTTGAGGCGAGTACCACCCACTAATGTGCTCGTAATGAAGAATGTACCACTCCCAAATATCCTTCATGTTGAAGGTAGTATCGCCTCTAAATGTGCCCCTGTTGAGAGTAGAATGGAGAGTACCACCCACTAATGTGCTCGTAATGAAGAATGTACCACTCCCAAATATCCTTCATGTTGAAGGTAGTATCGCCTCTAAATGTGCCCCTGTTGAGGAGAGTACCACCCACTAATGTGCTCGTAATGAAGAATGTACCACTCCCAAATATCCTTCATGTTGAAGGTAGTATCGCCTCTAAATGTGCCCCTGTTGAGGAGAGTACCACCCACTAATGTGCTCGTAATGAAGAATGTACCACTCCCAAATATCCTTCATGTTGAAGGTAGTATCGCCTCTAAATGTGCCCCTGTTGAGGCGAGTACCACCCACTAATGTGCTCGTAATGAAGAATGTACCACTCCCAAATATCCTTCATGTTGAAGGTAGTATCGCCTCTAAATGTGCCCCTGTTGAGGAGAGTACCACCCACTAATGTGCTCGTAATGAAGAATGTACCACTCCCAAATATCCTTCATGTTGAAGGTAGTGTCGCCTCTAAATGTGCCCCTGTTGAGGCGAGTATCACCCACTAATGTGCTCGTAATGAAGAATGTACCACTCCCAAATATCCTTCATGTTGAAGGTAGTATCGCCTCTAAATGTGCCCCTGTTGAGGCGAGTATCACCCACTAATGTGCTCGTAATGAAGAATGTACCACTCCCAAATATCCTTCATGTTGAAGGTAGTATCGCCTCTAAATGTGCCCCTGTTGAGGAGAGTACCACGCTTAAATGTACCCCTTTACTGTAGGGGAGAGTTGGATTGTTGTTTAACGCCGCACTCAGTGATATTCCAGCTATATGGTGGCGGTCTGTAAATAATCGAGTCTGGATCAGACAATCCAGTGATCAACAGCATGAGCATGGATCTACGCAATTGGGATACGATGACATGTGTCAACCAAGATCTCGTCAGTCGCCCCTTACGACAAGCATGGGTTGCTGAAGATCAATTCTAACCCGGATCTTCACGGGCACACTGGACTTTGAGGTCATGGAGAAGGGTCTAGTGGTCGGAAGAAAGTCGATTTCTTTCGTTCATGACTGATGATCAACGCAGAAAAGCTACATATGCACAACGGAATATCTCGAACCAAGTACTGTTTGAACAGACAAAATCTGAATAAACAACGGTACATCGTTAACATCCAAGACAGGGTGACCATCCTCTGAACATAAGGCACGTCTTCATGAACGACAACGCAAGGGCACGTCTAGTTTGTCTCACAGTCCCTGAACCACATTATGTTCCCTACTGCCAAGCCTCTCTGCAGTGCCAAAGCCCTCAATAAAGCAAGTCTAGATTTCCTCAGGTGCAGGGTCTGTTAACATCTGCAAGAAAACTAACTCACTTTGGGGATCGGGTTACAAAGTAAACATATGTAACTACCATGGCTGGCCGGACCAACATCTTCACCAGTGGTCTGGAATCTTGCCTCACATGTTCATCTGTCAACTCTTAATTAACAAGCACATTGGGTGACATGAAGCTATGGTAGAGGCCTTTCTGGTCTTGAAGAGACAAATCAAGCAAAATCTTGGGGAAAGGTTCCTCTTGAATGTTATGATGTAATAAGTATTGTTTCATTGCCTGACTTGGGTCCACACATAGCAGCCTAATTGTTAATGTGTAATTAAAAAAGGATTATTTTTTTATTCCTGGTATAGGATTATTTTGTGAAACACTGTTGTGTTTTGAGTATCTCACTTTATCTAAGTGCTCAACAGTAAAACTCTGTGTCAACATATGGCAGGGACCTATTTGTGCACAGGTTCAATCTGATTGATTTGATCAAGGCATTACTGTCGCTCCTTTGTTCATATGTCAGGATTTCTTTCAGAAACAGAACTTCACGTAACAAACGAAGCAACAGTAAATGTTGTATCCTAACTCGTAGCACTCATGAAGAGTGAGTGAGTTTGGTTTTACACCACATTCAGTAATATTCCATGTATGACGGCGGTCTGTAAATAATGGAGTCTGGACCAGACAATTCAGTGATCAACAGCATGAGCATCAATCTACGCAATTGGGATACGATGACATGTGTCAAGAAATATCCAGAACATCTTCAAGCATACGACAGACGCTCGTCTTTTCACTTCCATTGAACAGTTTGTTTCAAAAAGGGGTTTGTCTATATCCTCTTCTCATATTATACAAATGAAAACTTTTGAATTTTGAGATAAGTTCAAATTCATAGATAATGATGAATTTTATGGAGAAGCATGTACAATGTGAATGACCCCCTAAAAAAAATTATGTATAAAATAAGTGACCCCCCTGCATGTGATGTACAAAATCAATGACCCCCCTTCCCCTTCCCACAATTTCTAAGCATAATTTTAAACATATTTTTATGTACAAAATTGCTGACACTCCCCCCCAGTATGTATGTACAAAATTGATGACCCCTAGCTCCCCAGAACAAAATGGGTGACCCCCATAAAATTATCATCAAAACACCCCCACCCCCGCCATAAATTATGAACGGTCCCTAAACACAAGACACTGTACCTTTACACATAAGACACTACATGTATATATATGCTCAAACATACGACACTGTTTTACACATAAGTGTCCGGACTTTTGCACACGAGACGCTGCACTTTCATGCATAAGACACTGTACCTTTACACACATGACACTGTGCAGCTGGGCTTATTACTGATTTCAGCTGGAAAAAGTTGGGAAAACGACTTTAGATGTTATCAACACTCGTAAATATAATGTTAAAACATGTCTTTTTTCATATTTTAAACCAGTGTTGACATATTTGATATCAAAACACACAAGGAAGAGATTCTTTTTCATTTCGGGGGAAAAAAGTAATATTTTACTTCTTCGCGATCAACACTCAACGGGCACCTGCTCTGTAAAAATATGAACACAAACCCATTCAAACCTTCCCGCGTGGGGAAAGTGTCATGTGACCAGCGGAATTTGATGACGTATTGTTTGGCATGCAGGGGGTCTGAGCATGTGCGAGTAAGCGAAAACATTGATGGCTACCTTTCGAAACACAACCAAATGCAAGTGACAAGTCGACATTCTCGCCCACACAGGTATATTTACTCGGCTTGGCTTAGACTTTCGTTGTTACCCTTTCACACCAAGCAATTTAACTCCGTTCTAACACACGCACCCCGTTTTAACGCAAGCACTTCGGTCATAAGTACTTTCGCGTTTTCCCACAACTGCGTGTGGTGTTCATTCATAAATAGGGAACATTGGACCGTCGGCCGGAGGTTGGGTAATAGGCTTGGACAACATGGGGTCGTTCTGTCAAGAGGCTTAATAGGCTTGTGAGAGTTGTGCTTTCATTACCGCAGTCATGAACTAGCATTAAGCAGTTGTTAGCGAGTCCGCACACATTCTTTGAATATCTAGCGTATTTAAACCCCCTGTTGCTTTCGGCGTGTTTATTTACGTCACGACAACATAGTTTATGAGTGATATATGGGCTTACGCACTACTTCGTCCGGATGGCTAAACATTATAATGTCATGGTATTTAGGCAGGGGTTCTTTCTTAGGTTTATTATTATTTACACATTATATGCAGTAAAGAGGGTTTCGCTATTATGGCACAGTCAGAAGAGAGAGAGAGTGAGGCCCTTTAGGCTCATCATCAGCTCAGGGCCTCAGTCCCCTTTATTACAGACCCATTCCCAGACAGTGTAAGGGATGCTCCCCATGTCGTGCTGCCTAGTCGAAAAGGTCTCCAGCGCATATACATTGGAGTTACATGCATTATACAATCATATACAGCTTGAATACACAGATGACTTTAACAGAATATCACGCTTTGACATTGCATTGTAAATGTGTTGTGATGGTTTCAAGTTGATACAGTTGTCATTAGAAGACAGGAATTGTTTAAATGCTACAGTAGGTGACTTGGAGAGGTATTTTGGAAAGTATGTAGACTCCCCAACACTGCATCCTTTTTGCATTACCCAGACTGTCAGAAGGGCATTGTTCCTGGCAGCAAATCCCAGGTACTCTTCCAATCTCAGTCAAGAGACTGGGAAATTTCAAACCTAAGGCACTGAGAACAAGGGGGAGACAACTTGGTACTTGGGATGCAAATGTAACATTTCGTAAGCTAGGTCTGTATATTTGCCATGTTTTTCCTGAATCTTTCCAATCACATTCATGTCAAAAGGGACAGAAAGTTCAATGATATAAATAATTTCGTTAGTTTTATCAGAAACGACGAGGTAAGGTGTGTTGGCTTGCATATATGTAAGGTCTAATCCAAAGTGCTTAACAGTGGCATGGTATCTCATTGAGCTAGCACTATATACAGTCAAATCCCAATGAGTCGAATCGCTGGGGACCAAGTAATAAATTCGACTTATCGATGTATTCAAGACATAGGTATGTCTATGAGGGTAGAAAAAAAGATGATCCAGTCCTAATTCTTCCGCCTAAGCAGTTGTTTATCTAATGATTTCCATATCACTAATAGGGGCACCTTATCAGTTCCAGTCTGATTAGCACAGGCAGTGATTTCCGTAAAATCACTAATCTGCCTTTTGAACTCACCCGTCAATGGCGGAAAGGTGTGAGCCACGCTGGTTTGTTAATTGGATCAGTTTGCTACACCAATCAACTTCTCATTGACTGACTTCGGCTTATGTATACAAGATTGCTGTTGTTTGAATCTCTTGGGACCAAATTTCCTTCTCGAGTCATCGTGTGTATTTATGAGACGAATTTGTGTAACCGGTATTCAAATGATGACAACTATAACAGGGAATGGTTGGGACCGACAGGTACTTCGAGTTATGCATAATATTTGAGACACCGGCATTCGACTCATCGGGATTTGACTGTATATGAAACCAGCTTAAGTCTGGGCTAGTACAAGCAGCCACACATACACATGCAGGCACGTCGTCATATGAGCGAAATATTCTTATGTACCACCTTAAACCCCATTTCACCTCACCTCACCTAATCCAAAGAATTTCATAGGTGCTCTTCATACTCAGGGTTGTACCATGGATGGATCTATGGGTCAAAACAAGAAGCCATGTTGAAAACTGTAATGAAAGGCCCAAGCCATACCATCATGTCGCTTAGGATACTGTGCTTGTGCCAACGCTGTGCACCCACTGACGAGTCTTGTTAAATTCATTTATAATCTACATTTCATGTTTACATTTTTGTTCAAAATCCCACATTGATAATCTTGAGACATTAGCATCACCAAATTTTATGCAAAAGATGCTAACAATATTTAATAAATGTTTTCCTTCAGTTCCATGTATTGCGTGTATGAATTGTGACGCGTAATAATAATGTCCATATTGGTGCTGAAAATGAGGTGTGTGTCATCATTTACAAATTTTGCCTGTATGATGTCTTTTGTGTCTCAAAACTGCTTAAATAATGATTTCCTTCACAATAACTAAAAATGGGTGTCATTCTGGTGACATATATTTTGCTAAGGTTTCAATGAAAAAGTTAATAAAAAAATCTTTACTACACGTTCTTGTACTTTTCTATAGTAAATATGCAGTGTGTCACATCATAGTGGACCGCCTCCGTGGTGTAGTGGTTAGAGCGTCTGCCTGGAGAGCGGAAGGTCGCGGGTTCGATCCCCGACCGCGTCATACCAAAAGACGTTAAAATATGGTACTTGTTGGTCCCTGCCTGGCGCTTAGCATTAATGGGTACAGCAAGGACTCGGCTCGGAGTCAGTATAATGTGTCTGAGTGGGGTATTCATGCTTCACTGCGGCATGGTATCTCAGTGAGCTAGCACTATAAAACCAGCTTCAGTCTGGGCTAGTACAAGCAGCCGCACCTACACATACACACGCATGCACGTCGTCATATGAGTGAAATATTCTCAAGCACGACGTTAAACCCAATTTCACCTCACCTTCACCTCACCTCATAGTGGGGGCCACCATTGTGCATTTGCCACTGCCTGGGTCAGGGAAACGCCAGCACAACATACATAGGGAACCAGGCTGAATCTAATGACAATTAGAATTAAAAAGACACCTGTCTTGTACTCAGGCATCCTTGATTATTGCAGGTGTTTTTTCTCCATTCTTCTGTGGTAAATACCCTGGGACCTTTTGCCTCCATGTGGCTTTGTTTTTAATCTCCATCTCTAGAATCACTAAGTTCAGAAATTCTGTTACGAATTAGCTTGAAATTAACAACAAATGCATTTGTAAGTGATTTCCAGCCTCAATTGAAAATCTCTATTTGTCTGATCAAAATAATTTAAAAAATTAATTGTGGGGTGGAAAAGATGTCAGATTGGTGGAGCTAAGTCATTTTAATGTCAAGATGTATTTAAAACGGTATGTACAACAAGGGGAGGCACTCACTCACTCACACCCTTCTAAAGCATCATTTACCCAATTACTTTCTTGATATGGTGTATTTAATTGGACCAGCAGTATGTCTTTAACAATTCTATTTGGTGAAATTATTTTTGAAATATATAAACATGGTAGGCAAGCCCTTGCTATGAGGTATTTTAAGATGCATTTCAGAGGTCCAGTGACAGTCACCTTGCTGCTTGTTAGTGTCACACAGTATACAGTAAATTGACAGCTATTTTTAGAGTTGTTATGCTCAAGCTGGTCTAAGAACGAGGCTGTAGTAATAACCATTTTTAGTTTTCAATAATTAATTGGAGGTATATGTACTGGAATTGTGAAAGATGGTACTGAAACTGAAGTGGTTCAGTCATGAAGAGTGGTTCAGTCATGAACAGTTGCGTCAGTTTTGATATAAGAATGCTGGAAAGTGCACTAGTATGATACGCTTAATAATGTCCTGTGACATTAACTCATTTAATAATATATTATATGGATCTCAGTATTATCCAGTACACTGCAATATGTAAGTTGTAATTCCATCACCCATATATAATGCCCTGCCAAGTGCACAGTGATATTACTCAACTCTATTGTGAAATGATGATTCATTTTGTCGTGACACATACTTTGAAATTTCTGTTTGACATATGATACGTGCATATCATTTTACTGAGTGCAGTTGTATTGATCATGATATTTATTCTGGGGAAAATCGTGATAAGGCCACACCAATTTTATTTCTTGTTTTACAAATTTTTGTCCGCAGAAAACCTAAAGGCGGGAGGGAATAAAAAAAATCACCAGTCGAAGCAAAAAACCCCATGAGTTTCCATGTTATCTCATTTGGTTTGTTTATATCAACCAAATATAAGTTGAGCGAGTTTAGGTTTCACACTGATTTCAAGAGCATTTCACTTATGTCAAATTAACATTAGGATTTTATTTTTTGAGCAGGGAAGATTTATATTTTTTATTATTCTTGAAAGAATACGACCGGTGGATCCGTAAAATGAGAAATAAATATGGTCTGGCTAATGTTGAAAAATAAATTGCCTGAATGTTCTTGTTTTTTAAATTCTTTTAATTAAAAATGGTAAGTTTTATTGTGATTCGCTACAGACTTGGGGCTGAATATTGGCAAGTCAAGATACGTCCCTGGAGTTTGCCTGTTGGTAAGAGACAATTTAATGGTTGGATGATCAAACAAAGTGATATGGTTGATGGTAATGGCAGTGCTATGAAATTTGGGAGTGCTCATATTGTTCGAGTACTTACCCAGCTTTGTAAAGTTGGGCCTTGGATAGTCAGGTTGATGTATCTTCACAATACAATATGTATGACTCCAATTTTGATTGGATGAGAGGTGGTGGGGTAGCCTAGTGGTTAAGGTGTTCACTCATCACACCAAAGACCTGGGTTTGATTCCCGACATGGGTACAATGTGTGAGTGATCAAATATTGGGTGGTGTAGTATGTACAGTCAGGATTAGGAGACCAGATCCATTAACAACAGGATAAGAGAAAGATTAAAGTTTTTATCAACACAAGAAAGAAACTTGTTGGAGGCGCATATTTAGTCCAGATATATATTACCAGTGCAAAGAGTACTGCATTTAAGAAAGAATGTTGTGGTTAATCTAAACTGGCCTTTTCTTGAGCAGTTGACTTTGACTTAGGTCAAGTGCTCTTTAGTATTCTGTTAAGAGATAAAAGT